AAGGAAGATTTTTAGTACTACTGTAATGTGCAATATAGCAGACTTATGGCTGTTGAGGGAACCATACATTTGAATTTCCCAACTTCTGTGAGTTTAAAATGTGAGTGGTAATGTCGCAATATAGCAGTTAAATGTAGTAAAAAGGATAAGAAAATTAAAAGAAAAGGAAAAAGACTCTGGTTATGTATTTATAACGGTGGTAAGGCATTATTCTCTTCTGAGATCACCTTTAAAAACCTGAGGGCAACAGTCTTAACTATAGACTAAAAACGCTAGCTGTAGCTATTAAAATAGAGATTAGAAAGAGCTATCATCTCCTTTGAATACCTGAACTTTTACCACCTTCACTCTAGTTGTCTGAACAGATGAAGTCTATGCATCGATGGAACTTTGAGAAGGAACATGAATCCCAACGACTAAGAGACAGCAGAGATTCAGGAGCCATCATTATAAAAGAAGCTGAGAAACAATATGAAAAGAAGTAGGAAAACATTACAATCACAATTCTGCAAAAACACATTACTGAGTAATGTCAGTCTATCACAATACCAATTTGAAGCCTACAGGCACGTAGAGCCACTGATGCATCTTAGTATTTCAGATTCCTTCTCAACCCCGTGAGCTGTTGAGCTTATATAACTCACAGGTCTTTTCAAGAGTCCCGTGAATACATAAATCCTCTGCTCAGATATTATAAACCTCCTCCTGAACAGTTCTGAGAATGACCCCTAAAGATGCTAAGCTACAAAACATGTGCCAAAAACAAGAAACAAAAGAACATGTACCACTTGAGACTTTTTACAAGCAGATACAGGAAAAAAACATGTATCTATTTCCTAACAACCTGGCCCAGAAGACAGAAAGAAGAAAAAAAAAATCTTCTACCTTTTTTCCCCATTTGTTATGCCAACTCTTCCTTGACTATTAAGACCTTAAAATTTTTTGTGACATCAGCCTCTAAATGCCATCCTAATGTAAATGACATGCCAGTAACAAGAAAAACAACTGCTTTATGCCTATAGAATGCACCAGCAAAACAAGCATGTCTTTCACAAGGTACTTAGAATTTACTATCTGCAGCTGAAATGGAGGCTCCAGACAAAAGGAAATGGCAGTTATAATGCAACCTTTACAAAAACATTTCTCATAGGTGATGAAATTCTTCAGATATAGCACTTCTGTGTGCATTCATGGTGGTGGTGGTGTACAGCAAGCAATTTTCTTTCAAGGCTTTTGCCTTGGCAATAGCTAGAGGTGCCTATTTGTCCCACCTCACCCATTCCATGCACAAACAAGGCAGCACCTGCTATACAATCTCAAGTTTTTCCTCAGCCAGATTCCCCTAGAAATGGAGGAACTAACTAACAGAACACAGAGCAATGTGGTGAATTTCCATAAGGACAGGTGTCACCTCAGAGAGCTCCAGCTGGGAACCAAACCTCTTATCATTTAAAGTGCTCCATATACACAGACACAGTATGGACAATTCCCAGCAGTACTTCATCCTACACACACACAGGGCCATCTATGAAGACCTAGAAGACAAACTACAATTTTTTTTTTCCTCCACCAAAGTCTTTTCTGCCTCCAGAGCTGCACACTGCTCAGCAAGAGGTCTGAGCTGCAGGAAGCTGAGCAGCAAAGGCATCAGCAAAGCATGAACAAGGCGTTCTTTAAGCAAGGCCACTGGGGCAGGCTGAAATCTTAACATGGGCACTATTATGCAGTTGGTCCATGTTAGTGGTCTCATCACATGCACCACAGCAACCAATTACCCTACTGGAATCTCTTAGTACAGACAATTATGGCCCTGAATTTTCAGAAAAACAATGAGCTAAAAGAAATCACAAGAGAGATCTGTCTTTTTTGCAGCTGGAAGTAGAAAATCCTTCTGATATCCAGCGTACACCTTATTTCATAACTGCAATAGTGTGAAATTTAAAAAGGAAAACCAGGCTAAGTCGTTTCCTGACTCAGAATCTTTATAAGATTTGTCTAGAGTCGAAGTTCATGAGGACAGATTAAATCATTCTCACCCCTTATCCCAAGACCACTGTAATTACAAGCTGTATAAGCTGACGAGACACTAAGTCATACTGCTACAGACATTTTTGCTACCAATTAAAACATTGGGGTTTATATTTTTGCAGTATTTTCCTTTTGTTCAGAAGTTTATTAATTACAGTCAGTACTTGCAACTTTTTAATATTTTGTGGGAATGAAAGTTCCGTACGTTGTATCATAACCTTGTTCAATCATTTAATTTAAAGACAAATTATGTCTACATACTGTCTTCTGTAGAGAAATAAACTAGATAGCACATTCATTTAAACTGGATTTCGTAACAGCAACTACATATCTACATAATGCCAGTAATTCTATTCATATTAATAACCCATTTAAAAAATAAATGCTAGAACTAAAAGGCCCAATAAACTCACTTAAAATGACCAAGAACTTCAATTCTCTTTGATTCACATGGATTCATTTTGCTTCACATGAAACAAGAATTGCCAGAAGCTGAAGCTATTTGGACTGGGGAGGAGACTCACCCCATTTTTAAAAAAAACTTTTTAAATTAGTAAGAAAATGTTACTTTGTACAACTTAAGTCTAGTTCATTAGTATATTATTCTCATTAATAGATATTTTCATCAATACATATTTAATTCTATTACATTAATAAAATAGAGTTTTAGGGAGTGTATTTAGCAATACTATGCGAGTAATCAGTTTTGTAACAGGGATTTGTAACAGGGAAACAGTTTTAGGAAAAGTTTAGATCAAATATACAGTATATTTTTATAAGTATATGGGATTTGTGTATATAGGATTTACTCTCATCCCCATTTTGTAGTTGTCCAAAGACAAACATTTCAAAGGCATACAGTATTATCTGTTCTGTAACCTGAATAAAAAAAAAAGTGTGAACCTGCACATACCTGATCCTAGCACTGGAAAATTCTGTCTGCCATAGGAATAAAGATTCAAACTATATACTTCCATTTTTCAACAGCAGACAAAACTAAGTTCTTAACCCATAACTTCACATCTTTACTACTAGATCACTGGTGAAGCGTTTTATTTTAACTGTCATTTTGCCTCTTGGCACATAAGTCAGTTTCTTAAACAAACCAACCAACCACAACAACAAAATAAAAAACTAAAACCAAGAACAAACAACCCTTCAGAAAAAAGAGGAACCTGTTTATGAACACCAACAAAATATCATAACCACATTTAAGATGACCCTTCTTCCCTCCTTCTCACATTATAAATCTTATCAACACAAAAGAGAAAAATTGGAATATATTTAACCAATTTTATAAACACTGCAATAATTTCTCTTCATGGTCCTGTTACCTTAAAGAAAAGGATAAAACAAGTGCTTTCACACCATAACTGTGTTCCTAATACTACCAAGACAATAAAAAGGGCACTGGTAAGTATTAAATATAATGAAATAAAGACTAACTTCTGCTCAGAAAGGACAAAAGTGGTAAGTATTGTAAGCTAGGAAAAATGTCAGGGGAATAACTTGATGAATTAAAAAAACCTTTTCCACACAGAGAATTATCCAAATGGGACTGTTAAAACTTTGAAGTGAAAACCTTAACTATAATGCTGGAAGACTACCAAAAAAAAAAAAATTTCTATTAGCTACTCCAAAAACTATCCCACTGAAGTATGGCTTCGAAGTCCTATTGTAAAATATTAAAAAATGACATCTCCCCAATTCTTTATGGGCACTGAACAATATGCTTCAAAACTGATTTCTTGAAGCGTTTGAAAGAAACGCTATAGAAGCAAAAAAGTCTTTTAGTTAATACACAGAACATTATTATGATGTTCAAGGAAGCCTCTCATGAAAATCTATATGAAATTGGCAGTAAGCTAACATTTTATACTGAAATGAAAGAGTAGGAAAGTCTGGATTTAAAGCTTTTCATAATTCTACCTTAGCAAGCTGCACAAGAATCAGTAACAAGATTAATGATTTTGAAGTTACTGACTGCTTAAGTGTTAAATTGTATTTCAAAACAAATCCAGAAAAACATAATTGCTTCTAGGGAGCTAAACACTTGTATTATTAATTTCCTAACGCTGGCTGTTATTACAAACCAATTACAGACTTGTACTTACACCTGTGAAAATCTCGGCAGTTTCAGGTCAGAAAAGGCCATGCTTCCTCTTATGTGTACTGGAGGCAAGAACATTTAAAGTCCCTACTTTCCTGATAATAATCATAGAATCATAGAATCATTGAGGTTGGAAAAAGACCTCTAAGATCATCGAGTCCAACC